TTCACAACTCTTTGTTGATTGGCCGGTGTGTGTCTTCAACTTCAGGAGTTCTTGCAAATCGTCTAGTGTATTCCGATTCCTGACCTAGTCACTGGAGAGAAGTGAAATTGAGCGAAGGCAGTAAGTGGCACCAGCCTGGTTCCCCTCACTCCCCCTTCAGAACCTTATCACAACACCATTAGTAGGCACCCCACTAATGAAACTACTGCACAACGCATGTAACTATAAAGATGCTTGTTTCTTATAAGTTTCAATTGTGTACTTTTAGTAACAATTTTCCTTGTCATTGAAGACATGTTATGCATTTGTCTGCTCTCTTATTTTCTATGACACCCATGATTACATTACATTGTCTTGCAGTATCATTCTAAAACTTTTGAATACTAGAATCAAGTCTGCCACATGTATCACAGTTACAATCATTACTGTTCTATAAGATAAAATTGCCATGTCCATATAAAAAAAATAAATATTTTTTTCTTAACAGTATTATACTTTTCTTTTTTAAGTCTGTAGCTTATCAGGTTGGAGAAGGATGTGAGGCTCGCCAGTGTATCAGCAGGTAAAATATGGGTCGCTGAGAGAACAGGGTTGGGAAGCACAACTCTAAATACAATTTTGAGTGGGTAAATGAAAAGAGAAAACTATTAGAACAAAGTTAAAAGCTCTTAACAGTTAATTTAGCACAACATGACTTCTTTAAAGGTGCATTGTGTAACTTTTCTGGTGGAGGGTCCATCAAATGCTTTTCTCCATGGAGATGTTATTGCTTTGTCTGGAAAGTTTCACAGTATGATCTCCATGGAGACCAAACCAGACCAAGTTACAGGTCAGATCTGTAGAGAGGCAACCCTACTCATAGTCAGAATGCTTGTTTTGCTACGTGTTTTTGAGGTCTACACCACATGTGATTGAATAAATGTAAGATAGAGCTGTCATACTGTGGAACATTTCAGACAGAGCAATATCTATATCTACAGAAACGGACCCCCAACCAAAAAGTTACATCGTGCACCTTTAAATTAGAGATAGGCCTATACGGTCATACTCATATTAGTGTTCAAATTGTTTCCGCATTGCAAAAACTAATACTACTTCAATTTAATAGTGGTTCCACATTGTCAGTCCTGCGGTCTTCTCGGCGCGCCCTCTTGTTAGCTCGGTAATAAAAACTCTCCCATCTTGAGGCATTTGTGTTGTGCGGAGGGTAGTGCAGACTCCAGCATTTGTGCAAACACACAGCTCTGTAATTGTGTTCTGAATTATACATGATTTAATTAAATAGATTTTGATTCAGGGCGCACAAAGGGAAATGAGATTGCTAACACGAGATGGCCCGCTGCGCTGCTTCACTGTAAGATTAGCATTGTAAGGCCCTGTTCTCTGGCTCTGCGTCCCATTTCAGCAGACAATAATAGCGGCAATTTCTTTGTCATTTGATAATGAGTGGGAAGCAGAGGAATGTGCTGAATTCTGAGTTTTTGGTACAAATAAGTTGCCCTCGGAAACACGGCAAGAAATGGAGACGAAATGAAATCAGCTTGTTTATGTAAATAAAGGAAATCATTGTGTGACTGTCGTAGTTTAGACCAAGAAATAATTCAGTGGTTGAGCTCGAATCGATTATGTCAGATGCCCTTCCATTCTGCTGATCCACAGGTTGGTGGTGCGATTTCAGCTCCCACAGATGGAGACTGCTGTTGTGTCCTTGGACAAGACACGTACCCACCCCGTGTCTGAGGAATACTTGATGTAAAGGGATTTGCATGCCTTGAAGGTAGAAAAAAAAGTGATCATTTACCATGCCTAAAATATTTTATAATAATACTTATTATTAAATTATTATTATTTGAGGTCTATGTCAAACAATTTTCTTCTGCAGCAATTTAACTAGGGATTCTCAGGCTACGTTTATATGATGACGGTCTGAACAGAAGACGCAAAAGTAGTGTTTCGTCTTCACTTTTTATTCTGTGTTTAGATGAGTGTTTTCAGAAGGAAATCTGTGTGCATATGGTGACCCAAAAGTGTGTGGAATTCGATTGGGAATGCATGCCAGGCAGCTAGGTGGTGACGCTAGGTGGTGATGTATGTGACATAAACGCGTACGCGACGTGGGCAGATCTGACCAGAGTTGCGTCTTGGGCAGTGTAGATGAAAACGTGCAAGTGTATTCAACTTTTCCACTCTGGAGGGTGGGTTCAGATTTTTGTTTTTTTAAGCCCCAAACACAGTCTAAACAAAAGGCACTTCCGATAAAATATTTTGTAGTTTTTACCTGTAATCATTCTCGTGTAAACAGGCCCTCAGACTTTCCTTTCCATGCACATCACCTCCAGCTCCTCTCAGGCCAGTGGACACGGAGATACAGCGGCTCTACTCTGAGCTCTTTGACTGAGCTCCTCATCAGAGCAGAGGAAAGTAGACATATGCTAAATCAACTTTTCAAAACTTTTAAGCATGTTATAGGTGTTTCCCCATCTCGTGTACCCTTTCAAAGTTGGATTTTGAGTGAATTGTGCATGTTTGAGAAATCTTTAATCACTTATTTTCAAAAAGCCATATTGCCGATCATCACCTGTTTTCACCTCTGGCATACACCCACTTGTGTGAACTAACTTTGTTCTCCAATTTTATTTTCTTAATCTGAGATATGTATAGGCTTTGGCAGTGTTGCGTAATCATACAAAAAAAAAAAAAAAATCACGACATCAGCTCCCATTGTGCGCTGCAGTTTTCTAACACAGACTTTTCTCTTTTATAAAGTCATTTTAGATGATTTTGCTAATTGCAAAATGTGCAAATGATACATAATGATCCACAGTTGCCATAGATTATAACTATATAGGAGGCTCAAGCTCAATATATCTTCTTTTACATTTACTACAAACAAAGGATGTATTTAGTCAAACGAACTTTCATTATATCATCTAACAGCCCGCAACAATCACATTGAGACTAAAACCAATGAACAGACAACACCCACAAGCTCCATCAACTCATTTGTTATTCTCCATACTTCTTCGATTTCAACTTTCTATCTCACTTTTCTATAATAGATTTCTGTCAGATTGTTGGCAGAGTTGCTGATGAGTTTAAATCGCTCTATGACCTCTGAGTGGATGAATGGGTGCGTGTCCCTCATTTTCCTGGGGTCCCATCATGCTGCACAGCTGAGACCGTACCTGCTCATAATGCCGTCCCATAATGCACCTCTGCACACACTGTATCCACACGGACAATGGAGCGGCGAGAGGAGATGGGTCAGGACAGATCCGCAGTCTGGTAGAGCTGCCCTCCTCGTCGGCAGCATAAACTCTGGAGCAATCACAGGCCCTGACTGAAGAGTTATTTCAGTATAGGATTTAGTATTTAGTATACTGTGTATGCTGGCATTATTGTTGAAGGTCCTTTTTTTTTTTTTTTTTTTTTTTACACAAAATTGACTCTTGTGAGCTTTTACCATGTTATGTCGTTCTTTCATCAAAAACATACCCACAGTTAGTTAGTTTCATTCACACATGTTTGAGAATTATTAGTCTGTCTACATCTCCAAAGCTCAAAATGCTTTGATCCACTTTGTGATATCATGAAGTGGTAGTTTTCAAGTTACCAGCTACCTTTTACTTATTGTTCAATAGAGATAAGCAATTCCAGACTGAAATTATACAAATGGTCCATCTATAATCTCAAATACTCAAATATAATACTCAAAGTTTACTCAAAGATGCTTTAAACTTTCTGTAACAAATGAAACAATGTAACAATATTGTAACAGTATAATTATAAAGTATACTCAAAATTATATTACTCAATGATGCCTCAGAATTTCTGTAATGAATGGAATATTGAAAGAAATAATGTCTCATTTGTAAAAAAAAATAAATAAATAAATAATTATAGATAAATAACCTATATTAGCAACTTTAACAACAATAAGTCTGCAAAAGTAACGAAAATATCTATAGCCTATCTTTAGTTTGCTTAATCCTCATCTTCTTCTTCATCCTGTTTTTTTTCCTCATCCTCCTTGTTTGTCCATTGATATTTTGCTGTAGAGCTGATCTTTCCCAGCAGTTTTTTGTTGCTTAAGAAATAAGCATGAAAGCGTTTGCAAGACATATCTCTGAAGTTGCATTGCACAAAAAGAATGCCCTTCAATGACTCAACAGAGAGCTGGTTCCTCTCCTTTGTCCACAGGCTCTGCATCAGTGAGAAAACTCTCTCAACATTTGCATTGTGAGAGGGAAGTGCAAAGACAAACTGTGCAATTTTCAGCAATTTTGAGTAACATGCAATGCTTTTGGCCTTCTCAAAGTATTTGGTCCACTTCTGGTGCACCTGCAGGCTCATGAACTCATCATCACCATTGCAGTTTTTTATGAATTTCTTAAGATTGGCAACCTGGTCAAAAACACTTAAAGGTTGTATAGAGGATTTTCCAAGGAACGAGGGGGGAGCGGGTGCGCGGACATTTCGTGCGCGGACGAGAAGTGAGGAGCAGGGAGAAGAGCGGAGCAGGGAGAGAGGAGAGGAGAGAGGAGCGGTGCGCGGAGATTCCGTGCCCGGAGAAGTGAGGAGCAGGGGGAAGAGCGGATTGGGCAGCGGGGAGAGGAGCAGGAAAGGGGTGCAGAGAAGAGTGCACGGAGATTCAGTGCGAATGAACTAGCTACAACACGCAGCAGCAAGTGGACCCTTTCTTTGCATTGAAAATTACGTTTTCAGACATAGGATATCGCTTTCGTGTAAACGTGTAAACCACGTACCGGCGGCACGCAGGCAAGTCAGTTACGCTAGAAACGTAGGGAGATTGATTGACAGCCTGTCAGCTAACAGATAACGAGGCAGTGTTGTTATCTATTGGCAAATGTTTAGCCCCACCACGTCCAGAGTTGATGAATTTTTATTCTCTTTTTTTTGGTCATCATAATTACAAGGCTACTGCACCTTTATAATACTATCATTGACAATTTGAAACAAAAAAAAATCCTCCATACAACCTTTAACATCATCAATTGGCACCCCCTTCTCTCTAAGGTACTTGATGCAGGCCTCCACATCATTCCAGTTTGGTGGCTCACTCATATCCATCCACATAAATGTTGAGAACTCTTCCAAGGGAGTCATCCTCTTCTCCAGATACTCCAGAGATGCACTGTACATTTCAAGCACATCAGCACTGAACTTGTCACAGCCCTCACCAAGTCCATCTTTGCGATTTTCTGCCAGTAGTCCCTTTAAGGGATATGAAATTGTTGCTCTTACGCTCAAGAAGAATGTTGTGGATGCTGTTCAAAATTGTCTTCACCTCCATGATGGAATTATTCTCCTTTTCCATTTGTTGAATGTGGTTGTGGAACACAGACATGAGTGAGTGCATGTGCCACAAGTAGATCTCACTGAATTTGTTGTCAAAAAACTTCTTGATTGCCATGGGTGGCTTTTGCTGAGACATGAAGAATGCCTTTAAAGCAGGATACATCTGAAGCATCCTCTCAATGCCTGGAAACAATGACAACCACCTTGTCTTGCTGTGAGAAAGCATCCTCCTGTACAAAATGTCAACAAAATCACAGTACTCTTTAAAAGACTCAGTGCGCACAGTGTAAATGTGGAAATACTGGTAGATTTTAAACATGATGTTCTCAAGGTCAACATTAATTGCATTGGCCCCATGATGAACACAATTGTTCAATATGTGTGCTGGGCAACCCATGCCAATTAGAGTTTTGTTCTGCAGCAACATCTTCAAATTTGCAAACACATTGTTTCCCCCTTCATCACATTGAATTCCACCAAAATTTGTGTTGCAATTGTCTCCAGTAAATGTGATGCATTTTGAAGATAAATTGTTTTTTGCCAATGTTTCAGTGAGATAATTTGCAATGGTGTTTGCTGTTTCATTAGGTGTGTCTTTCACCTCAATTAATTTTGTTTGCACACCACCCTTCTTCCAATCAAAGTACTGGATTATGATCGGGAATATTTTCACTGCTCCGTGGTTACTCTGTACTAATACCACAGTACTGGATTTCCTTCAGCGTGTCATATGCGACTTCAGCAGAGTGGGGAGCCAAAACACCATTCACAATAGCCTCGGTCTTAGTGCGGGCACAACTCTACTTTTTGGCGGTGTCAGAATCAGGGAATGCCCTTTTTAGCAATCTACTACAGCAATCCATGGACCTGTAATTATAGTGGTGTTTGACAGTATGAAATGCATTCACAACATTCTCGGATTTTCCGGGTCTCACTAAGAACTCCATCATAGACATTACGCTACTCTCACCTTGCAAAGCTTTTTTATGTTTTTCGGTGTCCTGGTGAGCTTTGAGGTCCCTGGCACCTCCACTTGACACCAAAACATATGTGCCTGCTTTGCATACTGTACACAGGGCCTCCCACTTGTCTCGACCGGGACGGAAGGCGGGGAATTTCTTTTCCAAGTCATCGTTAAATGCGCATCTGTGCTTCGGCATTTTGCTTGCGCCTTCTGAATATACATAGCGCTACCACACTGAAGGCGCTCAGGGATGTGTGCACAGTTCCCTAGTGCCGGTGAATTTGAATTTTGATTATTGCTCCTGTACATGATCTTAGTCAAATGAATTAAATCAGCGGTTTTCAATAGGTAAGGCCAAAGAGTCACTGGGGAGGCGCGACACAGGTGGAATAAACCAGAACTAAACCAGGACTGAGTATCGAGACGGGTCCGGAGGTGCGCCCACGTAGACTGTCAGGTGACCCCAGGCAGAAGGACAGGCTTCACAGAACTAAGTGCAGCTGTTGCCCGATCATGCTTTGCGGACACCCGCCTGCAGTCTCAGGGTAGCGAACTGCTCTCCCACGAGTCCGGGCGCAAAACAGTGCAACGTGGGACACATTTTGAAAGCTCATTGCAGGGACTGCACAATGCAGGAGCAGGCGGGATGATAAACTGCAGTCCCACAAACTAAATATGAGTGTAAAGTAAAATATACAAATGATTAATGTATGCCTATCATACTTCATTTGTCTTCATTATTAATAAAATAATTTTAAGCAGCCTAAGCTTGCAGATGTGCTCTAATCTCACACACATTTTAAATAAATCCTTTCCCTTCTCCAAGCTTGATAGAGCTTAAGAAAGAGAACGTCTCCATCTTACGAGATTTGTGGGAGAGGGACAAAATATCGCAGATGCGGGTGGGACCGGGAATGAAAATTACAATTCTTTGAGGGTGGGAGCGGGACTGCACAATGCAGGTGAAGGAGTGGGATTGAAAATTCTGTTTTTACCTACTCTAAGGGGAGGCTCACATTCACCCGATTTGAAAAAGCCCTGAACTAAATCAAGTAAACTAAGATTTAGTATTAGTAACATTGTTAGTAACATTTCATGTAGCAATAGCAAGTTTACACATTTTATTAGGCCTTGGCATATTTTTGAGCAGGTATGTATTCTATTCCTAGTACCCTTTTCCTATACACTCACTTTTCTCTCTCAGCCACACAGTTACAGTTGGAAACCTCCACCCCTCTGTAGTGCTGTGCCTGTTCTCGTATAAGCCGTAAAGGTTATAGGCCTATTCAAATTAGTGGCAAATCTGTTACAAAGTAGATCGACTTAGTGCACTGCTACTGCCTGTATAAGGTTTCATTTGGCTTGCTCTGTGGATTCCTGGAGATTTGACTTATTGTAAAACAAATAGAGCGGCAAGAAAACCACCAGGAGAAGCTAATCCCTGGAACTCTCGCTGCCATTGTTCCGTCACTGCAGCTGTGCCATGCTCTCTCCCCTCCATCCAAAATAATGAGAAGTCCCATGCATAATATACATCCACTGCCAAGATATTCACGTTTTCACAGTACGGTGCTCCAGCTAGTGCCATATACAGTCTAAATTTGGATTGTTGCTTCGAATATATGCTAATGTGATGGTTAGCACTAGCCCATTAGCGGCAATTGCACTGTTTATGTGACCGGCGAAGGAAAGAAGTTGAATCTCGTTGGTGGAAACAGTTATTTTCTCATTAACGTTTCCAATGTGCTTTATCAACCCCACGAAAGCTGGCGGTGGTCCGAAAAATGCAGTGTTCAAAACATCTGCAGAAGGAACTACGCAATTATAGAAGCCATCTGGAACAATAGCGCCAGAGAATAGATATGATTAACACTAACCAAAACAGATGGCAAAGTGTTGGTTTGCTGTTGAGACAAGCACATAATGTAGGGGAGAGGGCCTGTGTACAATTATCAGGGTTGGATTTGGCTTTGGTAAGATTTGTGCTAAGCAGGTGATCAGTGGCATCATGGCTGACTGCACTAAATGAGGGTTAAAACATGATTCAAGCTTCGTTAGCTAAAAACTGAGCTATGGCAATGTTGTGGAATGAGGAAAATTTCACATATTTACACTGGTGGATAATAGGGCTGCGCATATGTTGCAGTCGAACCGCAAATCTAATCGCAATGGCTGTGTGGTTGTCCTTTGCAAAAAATATCATGTTACAGAAAAAAAAAAAAAATGTACCTATACCTCTTAGCCTGATTCATCAGCTGGTTTCACTTTGTGGAAACCATCTAACCTCACAGCAGTAGAATTCATTTGCTCGACGGTAGGTGGGTACTTTTTTTTATTTAACCAATCACTGCTATTTGGTCGTGACATATGTAATGCGCCGCTAATGGGGCTAACTGGTATATTAAGCTTTTCCCAAATCCCGTCCGAAGAAGAACAATAATGTCTTTCCCCTTGATAAAATTCACCAAACATTCTCTTTGTTCCAGCTTTAAATCCTCAGTCTCGGGAATTGTTGCCAACACAGAATGTATGGCTCTTTGCAGATTGGCTGGTGCCCAGACTCGCACTTTCTGGGTTCTTGCAAACCGTCTTGTGTATTCCGATTCTTGACCTAGTCGCTGAGAGAAATGAAATTGAGCAGAGGCAGTAGGTGGCACCAGCCTGGCTATGTACCTCTAGAAACATGTTCTGAAATTCATGTGAATCTTATATTAGTTTATTAGTTTATCAGGTCAGACTTCTCTCAAATGTTCCTGGAGTTAGAAAATAGAATCCTGCCTTAAACATAAATCTATTAGGAGCCACAATACCTCAGTTTTCATTTATTTTTTCCCCCTTTCATCTTATTGATATAAATGAATTGCTGAATCCAGCCAAAAAGACTCAGAGTCACAAGCAATGTACTTCTTATATTTTCAATTCAGGATCTGAATAAAAAGGTTCAGAAAGGTCATCCCGCTATGCTAAAGCAATGCAAAATACAATGGGAAACAGTAAATAAAGCAGTCTATATTCATTTTGTATCAGTTCTTTCCACATGTATTACCACATGACATCACAAGGACAAACAAGTTTCAGTTTGAGAGAAGAACTCTAAATATGTAGTCTAATATAAGTCTAAGTATGCAGGGTCTGTGTTAAACAAAACTCCAGGTATGTTTGTGATGAGGAAACAACATTATTACAGGAACATCCCTCTAAACTTGTACATGTGCCACTGGTGATAATTGGTGGGAAAGGTTTGAGTAGCACTATTCTAATCAAAGCAATCACATTTGGAAACATGCAGGTTGTGGATTCTCCACCAGAAACGTTACACAGAAAGATGTAAATAGAGTACAATAATTACACTATTAAAACACTAAACTTACCCCTAACCCCTTTATTAAGTAGTTACTAAGGCTAGGTTCACACGACAACGCTCGTGGATTTTTTTTTTTTCTTTGCGGGCTGAAAAAAATTTGCATCCACGCACATGCCAGATGAGTAAATATTCACGTCCACACAACAACGGAGCACTGAGTGAAAACAATGTAATGCATCTGCCACACCTGTATGTGGCGCTGTTAACAATGATAATAATATTTAATAATGCAGATCTCATCACCATTTTTTAAAATTGAAGGTCATTTAGATACTTTAAGGTCAGCCTATTTTAGATGTATCCCAGAAATGTAGCCGTTTTGTTTTGCAAAATTTAAACATAAGTCACAGAATGAAACCATATTTTCCACTGAGTCATGTTCTTTAGTTCGACAGAAGCTGAACCGCATCAGCGCACAATAGCGAGCAGTTTTTTGAGCGCTCAGTTTATGCAAATTAGCCATGTGGTTTTAAGTTTTGTTTCTGTAAAACGTAAACAAATATGCACAAAGCTGTGTGGATAGGGAAGGCTTGCGGACACAGAAACAATGTGTCTGGACGCAGATCATTTCTGATACAGTAGATACGCAGATTCGTATGCAATGTGCGTAATCTGTGGTGCGTGTTGTTAGTGTTGACGCTAGCAGAGTGACTCTGTTGATGGGTGATGAGAGCGGCTCTGTAGGCTACACCTGTCCCATTTTGGCAACGCTCTTGCAGAGGCTAGCTCGAGGACTGCAGGCTTTGCTGCCTCAGAGGACTCAGGCGATGACGGGATTGTGATGTCATCGTTTTCCAAAAGCTGCAGTTTGCTTGTCCACACAACAACGCAACGCCGGCGTTCTTTGATTTCTCCACTCTGGAACCCGTTTTCAAAAAAACTCTGTTTTTGCCCACCCAAAACGCCGGCTCCATGTGAACGAAAGACCAAAATGAATACAAACTTCTCCATTTTAACCAAAAAACATCGGTTTATTAATTAAGGTGTAATTATTTTAAAGTGGTCCTGTATTTTTTTTTACATTGGTATCTGCAGGTGATGTTTCACAAATACGCCTTCAGTCCAGGTCCAACATCTGTTCATTGACCTCTGTTTGATAATCCCCATCCAAAAGCACCACTTTGAATTCACTCAGCCAGTCCTCCAGGATCCACTCCCTCAGGGCTCCTACTGCCACTGTCACCCGCCAACAATGAGGCTTTGGTGGGACACTTTCCAGCCCCATAGCCCCCTATCCCAATGCCATAATAATAATGAATCTGGCACAAAGTCTAGGAGGAGTTTGAACAAAGCACTTTCAGAAATTAAAAATATATTCATCAAAGTTATGAATAGTGTTTTGTTGTTTGTTTGCTTGGACCTGCAGTAATTAGTCACTCTATATGCAGTGCAAGGTAACTTTACTATATATCCTTGAGTTTTACTAATGGGCTAACTTTATCTTTATTATTCAGAGAAATAAAAACAAGCTTTACCATATTTTTTCTCATTCTCAGTATATGGAGAGGCCATACCTCATGTGAAATCTCAGAACCTCCAGAATTCACTCACTGCAGTTGCAGAGACTGAATTTGGCTAGAATCTTACATGCAGTAATCTTAAAAGTCCTATATTATGCAGCATTGACTCTTGTTAGCTTTAAGTTATGTTAAAATGTCGTTACCTCATCAAAAAGATTAACCTTAGACAGCAAGATGGATTGTTGCAATATTTGTGAGATCACAAACGCAAAAGAATCCATCTTGGCTCAAGGCCAAGTGCCCAAACAAACCAAAACAAACATGGTGACGCAAACAAGCATATTTCAGCCTATTTTAGAGAAAATACAAACT